ACTAGTTAGATGCAAACTACAGTTATCATAGGCATTGAGGCAAACACTTCTTAGAAAGAAGTATAGCTTATCAGGCAAAGAACACACACACACATGCACACACACAAGAATCCACACACAGTTGCTAAATCCCTAATATATCTTGCTAACAATACTGAATTTGACCACACAGGAACAAATGAAGCATTTCTTTGTTTGACATTTTCATTCCCCTGTACCCTCTAGGGCAGTGATACTTCTGCTTTTCTGATTCCTGCCAAACTGAAATCCACCCTTCTATAGTTAACTTTTATCAGCATTTTAACATTCCAAACACTTTTGTGTAGGGCAGTTTCTCAACCTTAGCACTATTGATATTTTGGACCAGACAATTCTTTGTAGTGAGATTTTCCCCATGCATTGTAGGATGTTTAGCAATATTCTTCTATTCACTAGATGTTAGTTATACATCTCCCTTTCTTGTCATGGCAATCAAAAAATTTCTTCTGGATTATTTGAAAGTCCCCTGAGGAAGCAAAGAGGAATCACTGATCTAAAGGAATGATTAAAAATGTCAGTATCTAATTTTTTACCCTCATACCAGTATCGGGATTAGCATTAGGTGTCATGAAGTCCTGGTCCATATCCCAGTGAGCTCCTCTGCTCTTCAGGGATCTTGTTTTTTCAAATTCACCAAAGCAAAAACTGCCCTCAGCACCTACAAAAGAGCTCAGTAACCACAAATGTATGAAAGAATAAGTGAATGGATGGGAGGAAGGATGGATGGATGAAGGAGTGGATGGTTAGATGGATAGACCAATGGATGATTTAAAAGAAAATGATTATTCATCATTACTCTGTGAAAAGAAGTGATGTGAGTAACATGTACATAAGAAAAGAGACTATTTCTTGTCATATTTAAAAATTTCTGATTGACAAACTGCAGTGAAATCTTACCTACTACCTATGAGAATGGTTTATGCAATATTTCGCAATGAGGAAATCTTGCCTTTTGCAACCATGTGGATGTAGACAGGAGTGTGATGCTGAGTGAAATATGTCAGAAGAAAAAAGACAAATTCTGGATGGTCTCACTCACATGAGATATAAAGAAACCAAGTGAAGAAGATGAACCTTGGTTTTGCATTACAGAACCAAAGTAGCCAGAGATAAAGGGACAAGGGGACATAAAGTGAGGAGATCCAGTAGAAGGACGTGGAAGAATTTCTACATTTTGGTAGTGGGTGTGGTATGACAATTTACTTTTAAAGAGTTATGAAAATTTTCTCTTAAAACACATACGTAACATATAAATCAATATTATGTCAAAGTATTTAAAAGGTCTGGTATTTGGTACTGGAAAAGTAGCTTGTTGCCAGAGCAGTTGCCTTCCATATGTGAAGTCCTGGATTTGATCTCAAGCCATGTATTGTTTCCCAGTTTCCCTGGGGAATGACTTTCAAGCATCAAGCTGGCAGTAGCCCCTGACCAAAAGTAGATGTGTCCCCAAAACAAAGCAGAAGTCTGATTAGACTTATTTTTTTATCATTTAGAAAATTGTTAATGCTGTTTGTCTTAAAGTTTGAAATTAAACTAAACATTTTCCCTTTGATAATTTTTTAAATCTGCCAAGATTTTCCTTAAAAGTTCAAATGTGGACTTTAACCTTAGTTCATATTCTGAATATATATTAACAAGTCTGAAGTTTAATATTTTAATGCCCAAACAGTCACTTGCTATAAATATTTGTGAATGAAGTTATGATGGGAAAAATAATGTAGTTAGTATAAAAGCAACCTGACACCTGACCACATGATACTCAGATGTGTTCCCTGACCTTGAGGGCTGGGCCTGGGCCCCAAAGCACATCTCAGCCCTACAGAGTGTGTGGGGGAAGGGCCTCCTCCAGAAGAATGCATAGTGATGAAGCAAGATGTTAAATGCTCCTGTTTATTTTGTCAAAGCAAGATTATCTAGCAAGATGAAGGAAAGGAATAGTAAGTCTGAGGGAAGAACAAGTCTCTGTGCTTTCCTGCTAAAGGCAGACAGGAGCAAAGAGATAAAGAAGCAGGATGTGGAAGGCACAGAATAATTTGCAGGACAGCTATTGCTTCTCTCTCTTTTCTGCCACCAGCAGGAAGCTGGGCCCCTCTGTCTTCAGTGGAAGCAGACTCTGCTCTTAAGACAGGGACCCCAGACCCCCAAAGCAATCCATCCCCTGCCTTGCGGGACTCCTGCTGCAGAAATCTCTTCTCCCCCAGCCACTGGGGTCTCTTGAGGTGAGGGCTTCAGCAACCAGGAGAGCCAGGCTTTTGAAGTGAGGTCATTTATTTCTATGAGGTGAGCCATGCACGAAGACACGAAGCAATCCATCTGCCTTTACCACCAAACAGATTCCCAGTGCCTCATCTCCCGCGAAGCGGTCAAGGCGAGGAGGTTGGGTGAGGTGACCTTCCAGAACTGAATCTGTGCTGCTAAAAATAGGAGCAGCCTTGGAGAATCAAGGGGAGAGGAAGCTGTGGATATGGAGGGCAATGTCCTGACTCCCCAGAGCACTGTCAGTAAGAAACTGCATTAATTAGACTCAGGACACGAGCACCCAGCTCGATAAGCTCAGGTAGCTCAGAAATTGAAACGAAATGAACTGGCCTCCCCCAACCCCCTTCTTTCCGGTTACAGTCTCCTTGGGCTAAAAAAAGAGAAAAGATAATCATGTCTTCTGACCTATTTGGATGACTACGCACTGCCCGAGAAAATGTCTTTCTGAGCCGAAGGAAAGGGGGCCTCTTAAACCCACCAAGGCAAGGCAAGTGAGAGTCCCTGAGGCAGGCAGTGGGAACCTTAGAGGGAAGAGTATCCCTTTCCCTCAGGGACCCCTTTGGGGACTCTCCAGGGCTGAGGAGGGCCAAGCAAGAATCCATCTGCTCCTGCTTGTGGATATGCAGAGTTAAGGGACAAAGGGTTAAAGTGGAATGAGGAGAAAGGCAAAATGACAAAAGGAGCCTGGTGCCCAGAAAATCACTGCCAATGTGGAAAACCACTGAGGCAAAGCTCCTGTGTTGTTCTATCTCTGCTCTTTCTCCCAAGGGAAAGATTTCTCCCAAGGTTTATCTCCTTGAGATAAACCCATTATAAAGATGTTTGTCCCAGTTGAGGCCTCAGATGTGTAAAAGTTTAGCCTGGATAGATTAGAATCATTAGGCAATTGACCTAAGAATGTTATCCTCCTTCTGATGATGATTCCTGGTTCTCGGCAGTAAATATTAAACATGAAGGACAGTCGGGGCTCTCATTCCTCAAGGTGGTGGTAAAGGCAGATGGATTGCTCTTATTTTCTGTCTTATTTCTCAATCCTCTGTGGCGACCCTATTTCACCCCTATTCTTCTGGAACTGGTCCTGAGCAAAGGGTCACTTTTCTCCAGCTCCTGCAGAGCCACATTGGGACTGAGTGATTGGTTGGGGGGTTGGTAGAACAGCACAGGCTCCTTTGAGCCCAGAAGCACCGAGGTAAGACAGCAGAGTGGTCTGTGGGATTGAACGGAGAGCAGGAGAGACACTGGAAAAGTGTGAGATGTGGAAATGGGTGTATTTGGATGGTGACTATTTGGAGAACGTTGTGGGTCATTGTGGAGCCTGTAGACAAAGCTGGGGCAGTCTTAAGAGGCTGTCTGGGGGATGGAGTGATAGCACAGTGGGTAGGGTGTTTGCCTTCCATGTGGCCAACCTAGGTTCGATTCCCAGGATCCCATATGGTCCCCTGAGCACCGCCCAGAGTAATTCCTGAGTGAAGAGCCAGGAGTAACCCCTGTGCATTGCCGGGTGTGACCCAAAAAGAAAAAAAAAAAGAGTCTGTCTGGAAGCTGTTTGAGAGTCTGATTGAGCCTTCATGGGTCTCTGTGAAGCATGTGCTGATCGTCCGTGGATTACTCAGGACTGCAGGGCACTTCTTTATGTAACTTTATCCTGGGGTTTGGCGGGCATTGTAGGGATGTGGGTGGAGCACTTAGGGCTCCACGGAGAAGAGTTAGAGCTCTAAGGGCCTCTGGGCTGCATTCTGGGATTTGCTGTGACTGTTCAGTGCAGCAAGAGTCTGGATGGAGGCGGCAGATCCTGGGACAGCTTTGCCCTTAATGGGGAGTGAAAGGGGGTGCTTCCTAAGTGTGGGGGTTCCTTTTTTAATAATTTTATTGAATCACCATGAGATAGTTACAAGCTTTCATATTTGGGTTACAATCACACAATGATCAAGGAGCCTTCCCTCCACCAGTGCACATTCCCCACCACCAATATCCCCGGTGTATAAAGTTTTCCCACCCCCCCACCCTGCCTCCATGGCAGACATGATTCCCCATACTCTCTCTATACTTTTGGGCATTATAGTTTGCAATACAGACCCTGAGAGGTTATCATGTTTGGTCCTTTATTTACTTTCTGCACACATCTCCCATCCCGACCGGTTCCTCAAGCCATCGTTTCCTTAGTGATCCCTTCTCTATTCCAGCTGCCTTTTCCCCTTTGCTCATGAGGCAGGCTTCCAGCTATGGAGCAATCTACCTGTCCTGTGCATCTACTATCCTTAGGTGTCGGCCTCATGTTATGTCGTCTTATACTCCACAAATGAATGTAGTCCTTCTGTGTCTGTCCCTCTCTTTCTGACTCATTTCACTTAGCATGATACTCTCCATGTCTATTCATTTATAAGCAAATTTCATGACTTCATCTCTCCTACCAGCTGCATAGTATTCCATTGTGTAGATGTACCAAAGTTTCTTTAACCAGTCATCTGTTCTTGGGTACTTGGGTCGTTTCCAGATTTTGGCTATTGTGTACAGTGCTGCAATGAACATATAGGTACAGATATCACTTCAATTTTTTTTTTGCATCCTCGGGATATATTCCAAGAAGTGTGACTGGCTTGAAGGGAGAGATGTCCAGAATGCATGAATGAATAGAAGGAGCAGCAATGTCACTCCCAGGCTGAAAACACTTCATAATGTATCCATTTATGCTTTCTTAACAGGACAATGTGGATCTGGGAGAGCTGATGTTTTCCCTCTGCTATCTCCCTACTGCTGGCAGACTGACCATTACCATTATAAAAGCAAGGAATTTAAAGGCAATGGACATAACAGGAGCCTCAGGTAGGACATTCCCCAATTCATACTTGCTCATATAGCTTTAAAGCAACACCATATGTAGTTTCTAGTAAAGTGATCAAATACGGGAATTGTAGAGTCAAATGAGCTTGGTTTAGTCCTTGTTCTAAGACCTAATGAGACCCTGAACAAGTCCATTATCCTCTCTGAGTGAGCTTTAGTTCCCCATCTGCTGCTGATATATTGGTTGCTGCTAAGATTAAATACATATAAAGCCATTAGCACAATGCCTGGCATATAGTAAATTCTCTATCAGGTTAGCTATTGCTGTTGTAATCATTATCATTCTCTCAGGTCTGCTCCACCGTAATTGTTAACTGGTCCTACAGTTTGCATATGCTCATATCCAATTAAATATTGGATCTGTATTCAGATATAAGCAATCACCATCTCTGGCTTATTGGAGATTGGAGAAAATCCTTTATCTTAATAAAAGGCCCATAAGTGGACTTATGTTTTGTTGGAGTTTGTTGTTATTACTGTTGTTGCTGCTGCTGTTGTTTTGTTGTTATTTTAGGGGTGTTCAAACGCATCCACTTAAATTCTAAATCTTAACTCAGAAGATTCCCTGATGTGCAGTTCCCACTATACTAATTCACAACCCTCTCCAGATGTGGGCACAAAACACTCAATTCACTGAAAACAAAGATCACAGGATGCAGTATATTGTGCTTCTGTATTTCATTGTCTTTCTTAGCAGGGGAAAAATAAAAAGATGTGCTCCCTTCTGCCTTCTGACCCCGAAATTCCTCCTGAACAGTGTAGAGGCATCAGGGCAGCAGAGGCTCATGCTGGTGGACGAGGCAACCTCCCACTGAGCAGAAGGGGAGGGAGGTGGAACCAAGAAAGTCCCACCTGACACAGATTTATCACCTGTCACCCTGTCTCAGCGTGGCACCTCTAACGAGTCTGTAACCTTTTTCTCCCTGATGTAGTAAGCTGTTCCCCTTTACAGCCCAATTGCAGGCAACTATGGGGGTTTGAAGCCCCTGTGCTTAAGGAAATTAACCCCAGAAGCCCATCCTGTCATCCAGGAGTTCAGGTTATCTGTTTTCTAAGGCCCCCGATCTTCAGGAAGAGGGCCTCTCAGCAAAGGAATGGAAACCCATTTTCTCAGACCTGAGAAAATGCTGTTGCAATTCTCTTCATGTCTCAGCCGACAGGTCTTACATTCTAGCCGGAACAGTTTGTGATTTGGTAACAGATGTTTTCACACTATTTTTAAATTCCACATATTTTGAGGAGACAGTCCCCTGTTCTCTATTCTTGAATGAATGACTTAATTATCTTAACTCTAGTCACTGCCCGGGCATCATATTAATTAAAATCCTCAAACTCCAGTTCACAGTCAGGGAATGGAGTTCTGCATATCCATCCCTGCAACTCCACAGTGACAAAACTGCTGGCCTAAATCCACATTTATCCTCACAGTACCCCTGCCTGTCATGGTCTACAGATCCCTACGTGAAAGTCTCACTGATGTGTGATGGCAGACGACTAAAGAAGAGGAAAACGTCCACAAAGAGGAACACTCTGAATCCTGTTTACAATGAAGCCATAGTCTTTGACGTCCCTCCTGAGAACATTGACCAAATCCACTTGTCCATAGCAGTCATGGACTATGACCGGTGAGATGCCTGGACCTCTTTTTCCCAGCATGTACCCTGTGCCCTGGCAGAGAGGGATGGAGGGGGAGCCAGCTACCAAGTTTTCTTAGCTAGTGTCTCAGCTACTGGAAATGAGTCAAATGAACAGCAGTGCATGAAAAGTGTATTGACAAGAGTTGCCCTTTTCCAAACCATTCTGTCAATTAGATTATCAAAGTGCCTCTCAGCTCTTCTTTTCTTATTACTTTTCTCCTTCACCACCTCTCTGCCCCCAATTCCTCTGCTTCCCATCCTAGCAAACCCCCTAGAAATCAGTTTGGAGAACGTGGCCGTATGAGTCTTAATCTCTCAGATAACCCTGTCTGGACTTCATGGAAAAGATCCCACTCATAGCAGCAGAATGATTACTTTATCGAAACCATCAATATTTCTGAATACATAACTTCATTCCTTTTTTTTCCTTCTCCCAATGTGTATAATAAAAATCCTTTCCATCCACTTAAGTCTGAAAGCAAACACAGAAACGTTCCCTTGAAAATGCTAGAATCAGTATGGATGAGAGGGTACATTAAAATGTATAAGATGCTCAACTTTCTAATTAATACAGCACAGAAGAGATATTTATAGCCTGCATTGTAGCCAATTGTGTATTTAAAGGACAGATTTGAAAAACAGTTATTTTAATATGCAAAGGAAGTACCAACAGGGAATTATACATGTTAAGCCAGTCATTAGACTGAAATGCAAAGTCTCTTTTTAATTGGAAACCTCCCACATGGTCTGAGCACAATTATAAAAAAAATCTTTCTTATAGTCTTACAAATATTATTTGTTGCTAAATTTTTTTCTGTAGACCTGTGAAATATCAATAAGTCAGCCACAGTGCCCTGAGTACTCTTTCCAGCTGGCGCTGGGGTAAAGCATAACCGTGTTCCAAACCAGGGAACACATGAATAGACTCAGCTGCCAGTGGGTATGACAACCCACTCTAGAGAGTTGACCTCATCTTCTCTCCTCTGGATGACTCAACACCAATAGTGTCGGTCCACAGGAGAGGATATTGCCCACCAATTGTGAAAGGCAGGCCAGTATTTTTTTTCGTGCCATTGCCAAGTTTCCCCGCATCAACAAATCTGATTATGTGAGCTCTGCCTCAATTTAATTCTCAGTTAACTCATGAATCCAGGCTGAAAAATTTCATGGCAAAATTCATGGGTTTTCTGCATAAAACTGATTTTAATGAGTGTAGATGCAAATGTTCTTCAGACTACTTTTTTCTTATCTTCCCCCTTTGCCCTGCATACAAATAGGAGAGTAGCACTCATCTCTGCAGGAAGCAAAAAAAAAAGGAAGAAGGGAAATCTTGGAATTTGAATCTTAAAGAGTTAAAGGAAGGTCCATATCCATCTAGTTATGCAAAGAACATCTAACCAAAAATGACTACGGAGAAAAAAATGTTAGCCCAAATCAGGGACTTGCCCAGGGAATGTTTCAGAGATATTCTTAGTCCCAAAGTAAAACAAGATAAGTATGTTGCTAAAGTAAGGAAATCAAGTTGGGTCAAAGAAGTAAAGTTGGGCTTGGCAGGAAGGAGGGAAGAGCATAAGAAAACATGTTCTTTAAAGAGACAGGAAGTGAGAAGATCCAGGAGCTATCTTTACTCTACACTCCTGGTGACCTCAAAACTACAGCTGCCAAACTGCAGCTCAGAACTACAGTTACTGAGCTAAAGAGATAACTCAGTGGGCTTTGCATGCAGGAGGCTTGAATTCTATACTTAACACCACCTGATCCTGCATGTAATACCAGGAACAACCTCTGAGCACTAAGTCAGGAATAGCCCCTGAATACCACCAGATGTGGCCAAAAAGAAGACAAACAAACACACACACACACACACACACACACACACACACAGGACAGGAAATGAAACAAACAGGCCACAGTCATCTAACCTACACTTGGTTACCTCTTGCAGGAATCTAAGTAGCCAGTATTTCAAGAAACTTATTTCAGAATGGTTTCTTTGTATTGCATAGTTTGGAGATCTAGAGATCAACCTAGTTTCAGAGCCAGAGGTAACTTCCTTTCTGTGCATCAGGCAGTTCTTTGAGAATAGGATTCTTGAGAGCAGTCTGACTTATTGCTTGTAAGCAAATCTTGTAGTGTTGAGGTATCGAGAGTCAGACTTGGCTCTTCTTCTCTGTGTCACTGAGTATATCATGGGATTCTACCAGCTGGCAAGCCTGGCCTCTAGTTATGGAATGAAGACACCTATCCCTTTTCTAATTAATCTGTTAATTCAGTTGAGTAGTTGATGCTCTTATATACCAAAATTTTAAGAAAAAACTATCGTGGGCCATTTTCACAGTGTAGGTCACAATGAGATCATCGGCGTGTGTCAAGTAGGCAACGAAGCTGAACGGTTGGGCAGAGACCACTGGAATGAAATGTTGTCATATCCACGGAAGCCTATAGCACACTGGCATTCCCTTGTGGAGGTAAGAACCTATTCCCATATGCTGTATTTTGCATACAAATAAATGGTTTACTGTTGAAATGAAGAAGACACCAAAGTTGAGAATGCACCAAGATTGATGGCCATAAACAAATTTTCCTCACTGCGTTTCCTGAGGCGTTGAAAATTGTGTTTAACCTGATATTGAACTTGTACTCCCCACCGGTATGGTAGGTTTTGAACATTGATCAGGGATCATACCACTCTTTGTCTTTCTAAAAGATCAAGAGTCTCTGGTTTTGTATAATGGCTTTGACTTGACATTGGCGGAAATCTGCACTCTGGTTGATTGTGGACTTTCAAGTCATTGCATTCCTGGTCATGGTCCTCCCGTTGTTCATCGATTTGCTGGAGCGGGCCCAGTAACGTCTCCATCATGAGACTTGTTGTTACTGTGTTTGACATTCTCGGTATCATAGAGAAATCAATGCTAATAGAGAGGAATCTTGGATATAAGTACTAGTGCTAGCATTAACCCTCAAGTCTGGACAAGTTGATTAGTATCAGATCCAACTACTACTACAAATAACTACAAATAATCCTACTACTACTACAAATGTATTTCTTTCTTACAAAAAATGGCCTAGAAGGAAGGTAATCTAGGATATTATAATGTCTCCGTGACCAATAATACTTTCACTTCAGTCTTTCTACTACCGTATTGCAGTGTTCCTTTATTTTTAGGTCACCTCAATGCACAATATAGCTGCTAAGTGTCAGCCATTAGATAGCTTCTAGTTCACAGACGGGTGGAAAGAGTAAGAACTAAAAACACACATATCCCTTTAAGAAGTATTTTCTTCAGTGTGCCATGTAACATAGCTGGTATATTTAACTTAGTCACAGCACTTAGTCACATGAACATGTATAGGAAGTGTGTATTCCTTTTATCAGGTAGAAATGTGTTCAGCTAAAAGCCATGGTTATCTTTGTAAGGAAGAAGAAAATAGATACCTGGAAGCAACAGACCATCATTCTGCCTCTCATAACCTTATTCATTCACTTACTCCCATCACTTATTTGTTATTTGTTCTCCCTCATTCATCTTTACTCACTGACTATTTCTCATATTTACTAACTCAATCTCAAAAGTAAATTTCAGGATCTGAGAAATAATGCAATGGGTAAAGTTTCAGCACTGCAGCTGACCTAAATTTGATCCCTGACATCACATGTGGTTCACCAAGCCCCACTGGGTTCAGGGCCAGGAGTAAGCCTAGCAGGAGGCTTGGGGGCCAAAAAAAGCAAAACTAAAATGAATTGCATCACTAAATAACATTTCATTGGGTCAATGGCTATAAATCGTTTATAAAATATAGGTAAAGATAAGAAACCATCTCTTTCTTTGGGAGTTTTTTCAGATCACAAGAGACAAAAGATAGAATGTAGATCAGTGATAAAGTGCATAATCATAGACATTTGCAGCCATATTAGATGCTTCAGAAACACAGTTGAAGGAAATGTTGGTTCTGTTTGGAGGCTGTCCCTATAGCATCCCCCACTCTTGTTCTTAGAGCAGGAGGAGTCCTGCAGATGGGGGCACCAGGGAGGAGGGACTTTCTTCTTATTCTCCTAGAAAAGTCATCTTGGGCCCCAGCTAGTTATGCCAAGAGGCCAAGACCAGAACTTCAGTTGACGTGGGTTCCACTGCCATGGGTAACAGGGGAGTCTGGTGGAAATAAACATGCAGTGCAGCTGTGGAGACACTGAGTAGTCCCACACCCAGACCTGGGAACAAAGTACATGAAAACTCAATACTGAAGGGATTATAAGGTGACATGGGGCTAAGAGATAACCCCTACTCAATGCTCATGAAGCTCTTTCTCGGCAATTTTGACAAAAATTCATCACAGGCGTTGTGTTTTTCAGTGGGCATGGTGCATGCACAGTATGCAACAGAACGTGTAAAAAGCACTACATGCCTTTGAACCCCTGGGAGATATTGCTTCAAAACCCTGAGCACTTGGCTTTTCACAAATCTGTGTTTGACAGTTATGTAAGTGAGAAATAAATGTTTGTAGGGTTTGCCACTGAGACTTGGGAACCATTTGTTACAGCAGCTACAATGACTTCAGCTAATACAATGCTTGTCACTCAACTGTTGCAGCAGAAATAAGTGAATAAAATGCTTGCATCCTGTATGTGAAGGAGGCTGTTCCTGCCAGACTGCATTTTTCTCTCTGTGAAATGCATACATGCCCAGGAACCCAAATTCATCCCAAGAGGGAAAGGACTAATTTCCTCTTTAAACATGTAAGTAGCAGAATTGGGGCAGTGGTGCCAGGTGAGATGAAAAGATGTCTGTAGACAGTATAGAGAGTTCTCAGTAAATGGACCTGAACTGCCACGGACTCAACAATTCCAGTTTTTAAAATTTTTATAACACTGTGATTTACCAACGTGTTCATAATACAGTTGTTTGAGTCATTTAATGTTCCAACACCAGTGTGACCAACAGTTCCACTTTTGAGTGCAGGCCCTACCCCCAGGACAGAAAAACATTTATTCAAAAGGACATTGCAGCACTTGGTATGATAGCTAAGATAGCGAATCAACATAGGTGTCTAATGATAGCTAAGTGGATCGTGAAGATGTGATACATATACACAATGGAATACTAGGTAGCTGTAAGGAGAAGTGAAATCATGCAATTCACTGCAATATGGATGGAACTGGAAGGTATCATGTTAAATGAAGTAAACCAGAAGGACAAACACAGGATGATCTCACTTATATGTGGCATTAAAATAACTGGATGAGGGAATGCAATAGTTTAAAGGGGGGGTGCCTAGATCACCCTCAACCCCAGAATATAGGGAGGAAAAGGAAAGGAATTGGGGGTGAGGAAAGAAGCAGCAGTTGGGAAGCAGTGAGGGAAAGTGGTTTAGGTGACTCTTGTACATCAGTGGTGTAAAATAATATTATAGCTAATATCCAAACTGCAGAGTCAGAAACACTGAAATCATAAGATCCAAATTTTAACAACCAGGCTTTAAAAGGTGTCTGTCAAGATGACAGGCTGAAGGGTGGCAGAAAGTGAACCTAAGAACACTTACAGACCTGGAAATACTGGTGGTGGGATCGATGCTGGACACCATATGTCTAAAACTCAATTATGAATAACTATGGGAATGTAGGTCTAAGGTAGACCATTTATCTTGCATGTATGAGGCTCTTGTTTAAGCTCCAGGAACACATACATACACACACACACACACACACATATCATAAAAAATAAAACAGCCATTTTTTAAATTTCTGAATATGAATCTATGAATCTGTTTTTTTCATCTATAAAGTGCTTATCACTGTGTGTCTCTCCCAAGGTGGTTATGGGGATGAAGCAGGCTAATACACGTGACACACTGTGACTGGCACATGTGAAATGTTCAATAAAGAGCTGTTCGGATCTGGCTGTACTTGTCCTACATTCCTGGGAAGTGCTGCATGTGCCTATGTCATGAGACTGTCACACAAAGCGACACCATCCAGAAGAGTGTCTGCTGTGGAGATTATAGGAGGAGTGGAAATTCCTTATTCTTTAGTAGGGCCTCAGCTCCCAGGTCTGAGGGAGTTGGATGGTGAGAGAGAGGGAACTGGAGAGTGGGGATCATACTGTTGACCACTTACAGAGAAGCCGGTCCCTTCCTGGAGTCTCGGGTGAGAAGCTGAATTAGTCAAAGGAGACCAGCTGTGGGGGAGACATCTAACCACCTGTATCAGAACATTACACCTGTCCCTTGACAGCTGCTCTCTAGTCATCTCCGGCTTCTTCATGCTACCTCAGGAGTCAGAGACGGCCTATGTCTCTTGGGTTCCCCAAGGCTCTCAGGGCCTTAGTTACCAGCAGTGGCAATGGTTCCTCCCTCCTGCTCTCTCTGGGCCTGTCTTAGTGTCAGTCACTCCTGATGGCTAAGTAGCTAGGGCCATGGCAGCTCACTGCTCTTCTCAGTTGCTGTACTCTGCTCTCTCTCTCCCTCTCTCTCTGTCTCTCTCTGTTTCTCTGTGTCTTCTCTATCTCTGTCTCTCTCTCTTTGTCTCTGTCTCTGTCTCTCCATTTCTCTGTCTGTGTCTGTCTGTCTGTCTGTCTCTCTCTCTTTCTCTCTCTCTCTCTCTCTCTCTCTCTCTCTCTCTCTCTCTCTCTCTCTCATCTTTCCAGTCTCTCTCTGATTGGTCTTAGTTGCAGCCGTCCTACTTTGCCCTCTCTGCTCTTTTTTATTTTTAACATCTGGCGATACACAGGGGTTACTCCTGGCTCATGCACTCAGAAATTACTCCTGGCGGTGCTTGGGGGACCATATGGGATGCTGGGAAGTAAACTTGGGTCGGCCCCGTACAAGGCAAATGCCCTCCCCGCTGTGCTATTGCTCCAGCCCCACCCTCTCTGCTCTTGCTCTCTCTCAGGAGTCAGGGGTCAGGGGCCAGGGCAGCAGCAATCTCTTCCTCCTTCTCCACCTGCTCCTCCTCCACCTCATCCACCTCCAAGTCCTTCTCTTCTTCTCCTCCACCTCCTCCTCATCTCCTTCTCTTCCTACACTTTCACCTCACCTACTTCCTCTTCCACCACCCCCTCCTTCTTCCCTTCTGACTAGCTTGTTCACTCAGGCATTTCTCTTTAGATTGCTCCATCTCTGGGTGCCCCACCTTGCACCTTGCAGTCTTGTAGAACCTTTTTTAGGAAACAGGACAAAGCTTCTTTCCCTACAAACAAATATTCAAGTGTACAATGCCTAATTGTCTTGCCCCAATCCAAGGCCTTAATACCATCCTCGGCTCCCACACATGCCACCAGGCATGTAGCCTCTTTCAGGCCAGACACCTAACTGTGATTAGTGTGGGGCAAAAGCCTAATGCTTCCAGCTGGATAGACAATACGATGGGTAGGGTGCTTGCCTTACACACGGATAACCAGATTCTAGTACCGAATATGGTCTCCTGAGCACCACCAGGAATGATCCCTGAACAGTGCCAGGAGTAGGGACC